AAACTAATCCAAATTTTTGAAAAAGAAAAAAAATACTTCTTCATTATGTCAAAACACAATTATGTGCCGAGTTTCGTGCCAGGGCGAGGCTTCTGGGGCGATATATTGTGATTACAGACAGACACACACACAGCCGCGTTTATTATTATGTATAGATGTATAGACAATTATCATAAAAAATTGTTTTCTAACAAAGTTTTTTTTATGTAAAAGATTAGTTAAAAATTATATTCTCAATTTGATTTACAGGCAGAAGCTGTGAAACACGAGTCTCAACATTATGAAGGTATGAGTTACCTAAAAAAGATCGAAAAACCACAGGCAACGCTGACACTCAACCCGTGGTATTCTCCATCTAGAAACTACCTGCAGATACAATCCACTCCAGACGAAATGGAATGCGACAAGATGCACAGGGTCAAGGTTCGATACACGGGACAGAAAGGAGCTTCCATTAAGTTCTATCACAAAGTAAGTGTATTCTGTATTTCAAATTGAGTTTGGAACATCTTTAAGTTGAGAACATTCGCACTAACTGTTTCTAATGTTAAAGGAAAAATCTTCAGTCTAATTAACATGCTGTGCTTAATAAAAGGGAAATATGCAGTTTTTATTTATGTCTATCATATAGCAGTTTTATATCATACTAATTTTTTTTTTTTTTTTTTGAAAATTGTGATTTGAAACGAATATTATAATGCATTTTTTTCTACTACAGAATCTCATTCCAAATCGTGAAATCTTTTATTCTAACAAATATTTATTACTGCAAATGTGTGTTTTTTTTTCTGTTCTATGTATATTATTACAAAACTTTGAAAAAAGAAAGATTTGTATAAATTATTCTTATGTGTCTTATACTACTGTCCTATATTTCAGTCCAAATCATAAAAAATTACGTACCGGATGAATATCGTTATTGTACATCTATCATACCCTCCAACTTATGAGGATTTTGAAAATAATTCTTTCTAGTGGTAGCGAACCAAAGTAGAAATTTTTAAAGCAAATGGATCTCTCATAAAACTTTTATCCGAACTTAAGAATCTAGCCATATGGCCTGCACCATATAAGTAATAGTGGACAAGTTACTCTAAAATTAATTTTTTTTAAATATTAAGACATTAATTTTGCTACCGTCTGAAAAGAAGATTTCTGAAACTACGGAAATTCCGTAGCAGTTGGAGGGTATGCATCTTGCACTAAGCATCCGTAGCTAATTTCAAATGTTGAAAGAATTATGATTTGGATTTAAAATTATTATTATGTATTATTATATTAGTATTACGCAGCAAATACTACAACTGTATATTATTCTAAATTAAGAAATATTATTCAGATCGAAAATTAATACTATGCATCTTGTTCTACGACTATACATTATTCCAAATTATAAAATCTTATTATTTTGGAGAAATATTTACTATGCATCTACATTTACTATTTACTGCAATTGCATTTTATTTCATATTTTTAGATATAATGAAAACAATCCTTAAAAATAATGATTTAGAACGAGCATTATCATTATGCATCTCATACTAAATTTTACTCCATACAAACCATAAATACTAATCATACATACTAAATCTTAATCATACTTACTCCACATTTTGCAGGAAAGAAATTTAGATTGAATATTTTTACTATACATCTCTTACTACGCATTATTTAAACATTCAAAATCTTGAAAAAATTATTATTTGGATCGAAAATTTTTATTATTATACACGGATTGAAACTGTATCTTAATCCAAATCCTGAAATATTATGATTTGGATCGATCATTATTATTATGCATACCCATACTACGACTGTATCTTATAACAAATCATGAAAAATGCATTGTGAGTTGCAATCATAGAACACTTTTGTATCACGTACCAAACTGAAAATTAACTTCATGAATTGAAATAATGTTTTTTTAGATCACTACAAAGCTTAAGTTGTAATTTACACGGCATTTAATTGAGATATTACCCATTGGCAAAATGGGTGTTGTTTTATGTTTGATGACGTGCGCACCTTATTTGGATGTCATCAAACTTTTCAACTTTCCTCAAATACTTCAATCTCCATTTCTTCGCCTATTTTTCGCTTATTATAAATTTTGCTTGTTGTTAAATTCGCTCATCTTCTCAGGTGATATCGAGAGGAAGAATAGTCCAGCAAGGATCTCACCAGAGAACGTTCTATTCCAAAGACGAGAGCGTTAATCGCAGGTACGACTTTGCTCTTCTCACTGCTGGATCGAACAGTCGTTCATACTATCCCCTCAGGCCGCCTACAGTCAGTAACGAAACTTCGATGCCGGAATTGGGAGAATTCGATCTCAGTTTCGATCCCAGGGCCACCATGTCTCCCGTCGCCCGTCTCCTCATTTATTACGTTCGAGACGATGGCGAGGTCGTTGCGGACAGTAGGAAATTCCGCATAACAAAATGTTTGCTAAATAAGGTACGTATGTAATATTCATACTCATTAAACCCGCAATTTTTTTAAAAAGTTTCAATAAAACTTTGCATAGTGGAAATCTTAAGCCTAAATCGTAAGCCTAAGTCTTAAGCCTAAATCTTAAGCCTAAATCTAAGATTTAACCACAAACTATTTATTTACCGAATAATAAAGTGACGCTGATCTACACCATTGCCTCCTACATCAGAAAGCCTCCACGCTGTTTTTTGTCAGTAGTCTGCTCAGACTATTTAAAATCTGAACCAGTTGAATCCATAATTCATTTATGAAAGTAATTGAGAAAAATTTAACATGTATATTTGAGAATTGAATCTGTAGTGGTTGACAAGTAAATAAGACAAACCAATCATATTCAAAAATTAAACAAATTTTCTGGGCTGCACACTTATTCTAGTATCAAACGGTCACTAACAATAGTTAGAATAATAATAATAAAGGAATTTCGTTTGCTAGTTTTAAGGCGATGCTCGATTGTGAAACTGCTCCAATTTTTGTGATCCGTGTGGATCTTTAAAAACTATCATTTCATTCGTTTCTTTAGCTATTTATAAGTTGGATTTTATGCTTTTTCTTTTTTGTATAAATAATATATCCATTATAACAAATGCCAGAAAGTTGCCAGAATAAGGTTTTAGATGATTTTAAGGTGACAGATCAGTTGGCACAGAGTTACTTAAGTGGTGACTTGGAGTGAAAAATAAAGAATTTTTATAAAATTTATTTACCATTTAGAATGAAATTTAACCTATCACAATAAAAAAAGAATTTTTCAAATATTTATCAAAATCTATGAATCTCTTATTCTAATTTCAGTAAAATTTTGTTTCAACTGAAAAAAGATATTAAAAAAAAAACACCTTAAAATGTGCCACAAAGTCATCGCATTTTAAAGTATAGGGCTCAGTGACAAAAAACGAACGCATCGGAGGCATAATAAATTTTATGTGTACTTTAATCTCTTGTTTATGTTATTTTATAATCGTCGTTGAACAGCCAAACCAAATTTTGGGTTTGCGACTACTAATGTTCAACTCCGTAGCCTGGCAATTTTGAACCCAATCCAGAAGACAAGAGAACTTCTGGATCAAGTATTGGGAGAAATTTTGCCTTCATAGAGGACTTTTTAAAGGAACTATCCCGCATTTGTATTACATGATGAGGAAAAACACGAAAACTTCCCTCGGTTAACCTGACGGGAAGGGGATTTTAACCCATGATCCGTCTACCACTGAGGATATTTTACGTCAGCACTGTGCTCGTTGCAAGCCGGATGCGGAATTCGTATTGACCAGCTGATGCTAGGATTCGAAAATGGTTCTCCTGATTGGAAGGCCAACGCTCTATCTGAGTCATCACGGCTGTGCATTAATCTCTTGCAAAATCTGAAATATTTTTTCAATGCAATTTTTATAATTGCACATTTATTTCTGCATTCTGTTTCCTGTTTTTATATATTATCCAAAATTAGACATTAAAGGCAGTAATTACGAAACACTCTGTATTTGCCATTAATAGGGTTTTAAACTAAATTGGATAAAGAAATGGTTCATTCAATAATAAGTCTTACTATATTTACTGTAAATAAAATCCTTTTGCATCTTTTCAAGATTTTATATCATTATGATTATTCTAACTAGTTTTGCACAATATTTCCCATGAATATGTAATAGACTAAAATAAATTTACCGTTGACGTTTCAATATCGCCATGATGCATTGTGAATAAAAGGATTTTCTTGTCTTGTTTAGTGCAGGTTTATACATTTGGCGTGCACGCTTATATTATAAACCAAACTAAGGCAATCGTTAGTCGCACAAACCAAACTTGTATGTTACAAGCCAAGGCAAGTCAATCGTTAATTGTACAAACCAAGCTAAACATATCGTTAGTTGTACAAACTAACCCAATCATTGGTCGCTCCAACCAAACTAGTATGTTACAAACCTAGGTAAGTCAATCGATAATTGTACAAACCAAGCGAGTATGTTGCAAACCATGCTAAGCCAATCGTTAGTTGTACAAACCAAACGAGTATGTTATAAACAGAGCTCAACGAAACCTATTCTGTACAGGTGAATCTCCACTTCCGTCACGAGCAGCAATACCCGAGTACAGAAGCATCACTCTTACTGTCAGCCACTCCTTCTTCTGTTTGTGGCATAGGACTGGTGGACAAGAGCGTCCTTCTGCTGAAACAGGAGAAACAATTCAACATAGAAAAGGTAACTTCACCAGATACTTTTTACCAATCATTAAAGTATTGACTATTCTCTTTAATATTAATGTGATGTAAAATTCCGCGAATTTTATCTCAATTTCAAATTTAGTAGAAGAAAATCATTTTAAGATGATTTTTTTTTCCAATCAGGAATTATAAATATTTGTTAAAATGATATAAAATTAGTTATTATAGCCAGTTAGTCATAAAAATAGAGTAGTATGCGAGAAAAAAAAACGACTAATTTTGAATTACTTTTAGTCTAAATATTGTATTTTCACGTGTAATTTTCACTTAATGATGTTAGGGGTGACCTCAATTAGTTAGTGAATACGATATTTTAAATTAGATACAAAAACATACTTTTTCTGAATGCCTTTTTTTCGATAGATTTGGATTCCTTAGTCTCTAAATGTAGGGTTTAGACACAATCTGAAAAATATGGTCCAAATAGTTTCATCAGGAGAGCGATCCAAAGTTTGGCTTCTTAATGTTAGGTTTCTGCGCTGCTCGTCATATCTTGAAAAAGTTATAAGCGAATCAAAAAATCTTTGTAAAAATAGAAGCCGTTTATTCAAAGATAATTTCATACAAAAAGTAATTTTTAATCATTATTTATTATTTTTTTATTTTATTTAATATTAGTCGTAAAAATTTTGTATTTTACATCACTTTAAGGAATATAATTTTATGGCGCAAAATACGAAATTTGTACGAAATGGTGCAAGTTGTTCCTGAGAAATCAAATTTCACGAATGCATTTCTAAAATTCGAAAAATAACATTAAAAATTTTAAAATTATTGTACGTTGCACTGTACATCTGTACTGTATTTTTATGAGGGAAATATTGCTATTTTGTGTAATTTCGAAGAAAAAGTTTACATTTTTAAAGCTGTTATAGTATTTTAAGAGGTCTACAATTACAGTGCAAGTCCTGTAATGTTTGTTACTCACTTCTGGTCTCTCTTTTTTTTGTTAGATATTTGAAATCATGAAGGGCTTTGACGTGGACAAGAGTACTAAGCCATTACAAGTTTCAGATGATTACTGTTCGAAAAAAGGTACGCCATTTCATTTTTTGAGTTCAGGGTATCAACAGACTTTTTCAATCAAAATTATTCGAAAAACGCTATTTAATATTTCTTTTATAGAAAATCAAATATAACCTGTGACAGTTATAGTGTGCAGTATTTCAGGAAAAAGACGTACGACTATCAAAGCAGGAAAGCCTTCTCCTTTGCAAATGATCAAAATTGTAATTCTATATCTTCGAATCATCCTTAGAAATATTTCACGGCGTGTCAATAGCTTGTTGCAAGGCTCTAGGGTGTCGTAAATAAAATACTATAATACTATTATAAATAAAATAAAATACTAAAAAATAATCAGCCATTGGAAAATTTATTTAAAAGTAAAACGGAAGAGAACAGAAATATAGGATTAGTTGTATTCTACTTAACAATGATTTTACCTAACAGGTTTCAAAAATAGCTATAACGTTTGCCAATAGATGGCGCTGTAGTAAATTAAAACTATAAAATAATGCTTTTTGCTGCGTGTAATCATTTAATGCTAAATCAGAAATGTAAGGTTTGTTGCATTCTATTTAAGAAACTTAGAATTCCTTAGCTACAAAATTCCCCAACAGATAGCGCCACTGTCTGATTAAACTGTGTAATAATGCTTCTTTCTGCATGTCAAATCATTCTTGTTGAATTTGGCTTAATGTCTTTTAGTTTTGTCTTACACTTCGGCGCATTGTTGAGGCGAATGGTATTTATTTTAAAAACAATGTTATGTAGTTTTTCTTATCTTGATGCGTCATTTCTTGTTGAATTGAACGTTGTTGTTGTTAATTTACGTCGCACTAGAGCTGCACAATGGGCTATTGGCGACGGTCTGGGAAACATCCCGGAGGATGATCCGAAGACATGCCACCACAATTTTGATCCTCTGCGGAGGGGATGGCACCCCCGCTTCGGTAGCCCCACGACCTGCGCGCGAAGTCGAGCACTTTACGGTAGCACAGTTTAACGAGGATCAATACCGCACACCCTCGGTCCCTACGCAGACTGATCCAAGTGGACACCCACCCGCACACTGACAGTAACCAGTGATGCTTGACTTCGGTGATCTGCTGGGAACCGTGTCTTAACGATCAATTCACTGCGGGACTGAACTGAACGTAATTTTGATACTTATCACTTATGGAGAGCGAAGCAAACTATAAAGTTTCAATCTCCATTAGTTTTCTTCGTTAGTCTTTGAACTTGTTCGAGTCACTTAATGATATTTTATTTTGAATCTGAAGGGCTGTTTTTTTTTTAAATTACGTCACGCTTTTATAAAATTTTTAAAAACATAAAACGCTAGAAATAATACATATTTTAGAACTTGATTTTTCCTTTGGGTATTTTTATCATTGAATCATGTTCTTGTAATTTCATTTTGTCCTCTACAACGTTTTTTAGCCGATAAGCCTGAAAGCCTACCAGATCCACCCGTCTTCTTCGATCAGGAAGGTCGTCGAAGGTCCGACCGAAGGGTCCGTTATTTGTCCAGATTAGAGTCCTATCATGCAGACACAATCATGGCCTTCGAAGTAAGTTTATCCGATTACAGTACAATGATTAACTATTTCATTAAAAATTAATCTAAATATTAATGCAATGATTTAAATCCGCCTCTTTTTGTTCGTTACCCAACCATATCCCTTTTGTTAAATGCATACGGGCAACGAACGACTTGCGTAGTAAATTTATCCAGGGTCCCAGTGTTCGCTTAAAATTATTCAGATGACACAGCAAATTATGCATCAAAGCAAATGAAAATTTCTCTGATTTAGCTACCTTTAATAAGTGACCCTAACGCGCCCTTTAAAAATGAAGAATTACTGATTTGAAATCAGTGACGCTATTTGTATCTAAAATTTCATGAAACAGAAGAAAAAAATTTCTCCCCATTGTAATTTAAACATAAGAAAGTTGCAAATGGCGAATTGTCATTTTTAATCTTTCATAAAAGTTTGTGAAAATACTATTTGTTTTAAAAATTTCTGTTTTAAGTCAGAGATGCTAGAAAAGATATTGAGTTAAAATCTCAGTAGATTCTTCAGATTTTTGTCGTTATTTGTGTATTTCGTATTTAAGTCGAAACTATTTGTGCTATAAACATAAACCACTTTGCTGATATAGCCTCTAGAGCAGGGGCTTCCAACTTACATGAGGCCGGGGGCCACAATTAAAAACACAAATCAAATGGCTGGCTGCAACTTTTTCAAAATTTTATGTAGGACTGACTCTTTTATGTTTGAAAGAACATTAAATATTGCTGTCAGATTTTTACCAAGTTGTACAAAACAGAAGTATTGAATTACAAATTAAAATAAAAAGTAGATTTTTAAATATATTTAATTGTTATTAATAATATTTGTAAAAATATTAAATAAATAGTAAAAATTCGGGCTACAATAACTTTAATGTGCACCTATGTATTAAACAATTAATGTGCAACAGATATCTAATTGTTAAGATATAAAACTTTAAAAAGGTTTGTATTAAAACTTACATAGTAGCACACAAAATGTTCAATGAGAAAATTGAGGCTTGTCTACTGCAACGACCAGAGAATGGATATTTACATTTTAAATTTACAAGTGTGTGTGTAAGTATTTTCGTCCAAAATGAGTGGTTTCAAGAAGTTCAATCGGAAAATTTCTTCGAGAAAATTTCTGATATGCACATTCAAATTGTATTCACAAAGTACAAAAAAAATGAAATAAAAAGAGCAACATACACGATTATTTTTGTATTTGAATAAATATTTTCTTGGATGCAAAACCAGAGAAAAAAATTTTTTTGCACAGTTGGTATGTTAAATTTCACAGAAACGAAGAAATTAGGTTTTTATTAATGAGAAAAGTATTTTAAACCCATACAGATTTTTTTCGAAAATTTTCCGCAAAAAAAAATGACAACTAACATATTTCAGTTCGCGGGCCACAAAAAAAGGCTTCGCGGGCCGGATGCGACCCCCAGGCCACCAGTTGGAAACCCCTGCTCTAGAGGAAGGAAAAATATTTGTTCCCAAAATCATTTTATTTACTACGAAGATTAAATAAGATTGCAGAACGTGTTACATTTAGTTTTGATATTCAAATATAAAACTTATTTTGATTTTAAAATTTGATTTGATCTGAGTTAAGGGGACACTTCAGGTTCAAAATGATTTTTTTAAAATATCAACCAATTTTAATGAAAATTTTATAGATTGTGAATAAAGCATTTAGAAAGATATTCCCAAAATTTGAAGCAAAAATATTAATTTGTTGAAAAGTTATAATTTTTTTAATAATTTATCCGCAAGTTAAATTACTAAATGTTCCAATATTTCAAAATGTTTCCTGCGCATGAGTTTTTATCGTAGCTGTATGAAACTCATTTATATTACAGTTTGAATAAGTATAAATAAAATTGGATATGTTTGAACAACTTAGCACTTAATTTTAAACATATAAAAAATTAAAATATCATAGTCTTTATATAATTTTTAAAAATTGAAATTTGAATAACAATTTAAAGTAATTTAAAAAATATTCAGTGAGTATTCAGCTTTTATTTATATCACATTGGTTACGGAACATTAGGCCAATCATATATATGAGAAAAAAATAAAGATTTATTCAAAACTCATGCGCAAGGAACTTTTCGAAGTTTGAATATTATCGTAAAAAACAACATTGAGAAAAAACAGTTTAACTATAAAAACAGACAGTTTACATAACCTTGTTTACAAATCTTGAAATGCTTATAACTTTGCAAAAAATGACTGAAATTGAAAAATTTTTCTTTTAAATTGTAGCTAGATATAACTATTATTTTTTGAAACAAAAATTGAAAAAAGTATAATTTGGTCGATTTTTGGGTTTTTCATCGTGAAGTGTCCCCTTAAAAGCATGCATATAAGTTCGACTGTCTCTCACGAAATGTTGTTTTTTTCATTCTGCCAGGAAGCAGGTATGGTTGCCATAACAGATTTTGAGCTGGAGATGAGACCATGCCAGAATCGAGAACCCATCGCCTTTGAGTTGAGCGAAATGAACGAAAAAGGAATCCAGATGCTTGCCAGAAGGAATGGAAGACCACGTATGCGTGCATACGGTGACTTTACTACACTTCTCTGTCTTTTCTTTCACTAAAGCGAAAAATTTTGTATCGATTCCTGTGCTTAAATATTCTGAAAATGTTGGCGAGAACTGGGCAATGCACAGTGGGCCAGAAGACCATGATCTTTGGCCAAAGTCAAAAATTAAATTCAACTAAAATATGTTTAGGCAGCTTAATATCGCCCAAATTAAGTATTCATAATCCTTCCAAACATTATAATTTACTTTTCGGACCGACGAGAGTACAATGTCGTGAAAAATAGGTTTAAAAAAAATTTTTAAATGTAACTTTTAAATTTATATTTTAGAAATATATGTAGGAATTTCACCTTACTGTTACATTTTTTTCAGAGTAATTAGTCGGAAATTATAGTACAATTTTTCAATGTGTTGGATTAGTTAACACTCTTGACAAACTTATAGTTTATATCTTATCATTTAACATTTTACAAAGTTTGGACCACTTTCGAAACTTATCTCCAAAACGTTCCACGAGGCAATTAGCTAAGCTTTTTTTTGTTGTCTTCTTTGATGTTTCTTCTTTCGAAAAAACCTGCCCCATTTAATATGAAATTACGAAAATTATTATATTTTCATTGCTATATTTAAATATTTAAACGTACTATATATATATATATATATATATATTGCTCGCCATATTTCAGCCGTCATCTTGTTTTTTTTTTCTTTTCTTGTTTTTTTTGTATTTTTAGTGTATTTCAAAATTTTAACTATGACTTCAATTTACCTGCACATGAAAACCATAAATAAAAAAAACCCAAATTTTGAAACAAATGCTGGATGCTGACCCACTGTGCAATGGAATGAACGAAATTGTACCGTTTAAGCTCCTCTTTGATACGTGTTTTATGGCTGCTTTCCGAAAGCTTTGTAGTCGCATGAAATGATGCTTTTTTTGCAAATAACATGTTATTTTCATAACTGATGTGAGTTTTCAACAGTTACATCAAGTTACTGTTAAATCAAGCTTACCTTATCCTTCGTCAGCGCCCTCTATGTCTGTTCTGAAAATGGCTCAAAACGTCAATACTGAGAAAAGCCACAGATTTGAGATGTGGATAAGATACGTCAAAATTAAAGTGAAAGCAAAAACAATTCTAGTACATTAACATACCCACATTGAGGCAACCACTTTATGTTTTTTCCCCGATTAACAAACACTCCTAAATAATTTCACTTGCCTGCTGCATTCACTAAGCTCCTCATGTCAAATACTTATAAAACGGTTTAAGCGTTTATTATACAAAGAAAGCTTATGGTTGTAAAGATATAGCAATTTTTTTCAGAAATCGAGTAGTTTCTTTTACACTACAGTGCTTTTAATCTAATTTCAGCTGGACAATCTATGCCAATTCGTGCTGAGTTGCAGGTGCCATCATTGAAATCGAGTGATCCACAACCAGAGGCTCCATCTGTAGAGGAGATTCGTAACTATTTTCCAGAGACATGGTTGTGGGAAATGCAGACTGTCGGGTAAATATTTTACTAGCATCTTGTTTAAATTTTATCACACTTCAAACTGCTCTTATGAAATTTTATATGGAATATTTCATAATTACCGCCTCTAATATAGATTAATAAGAGTTCTTGTAGACGGGTCTGGAGTTAGAATCCCCCCCTTGCCGCCAGGCTAACCTTAGGAGGTTTTCGAGGTTTTCCTCTCCATGTAACGCAAATGCGGGTTAGTTCCATCCAAAAATTCCTCCGTGGAGGCAAATTTCATCCAATACTTGATCCAGGAGTTTCCTTGTCTTCTAGATTGGGTTCAAAATAACATGGCTAAGAAGTTGAACATTGGTGACCGTAAGAGCGAAATTGGGTCAGTTGTCCAACTACGGATATAAAATAAATAAAATAATCACTGGGGTGTTGTAGTCTAAACTCTTCAGCTCCGCAATTCGCTATAAAATTATTTAAATTCTTGAATCTATTTTATAATTTTGTCAACAAATATTTGCCCCTAATTTTTTTTCTTCTTATAATTCATGTTGAAAACTACTACGAGACTAAGTATCACATGATGGATATGTAAAAGATTCCCATGGCTTCGATGACTATGAACCAAATGATGATAGAGAAAGTGTATCCTAAAAATTTATTCGTTAAAAAATCCACCGGATTTGTAGTAAAGGTCACGAAAATTTTCGTGACTTGTAGAAATCCTGATTAAGGTCTATTAGTGAACACAATTAAATTTTCTTCTTAATAATTTTTTAAAGTTAAATGTGTATGGTATTAAAAAATTTGGTGAGTTCGCAATCGTAATTTAATATTTTTGCATTCCAAGCAGGCTGATATATTAATTGAAATTTGTGCATGCATCACATTTTGCATGAAGCTGATCTTTAAGTTCTAAACCATTTAACGAATCTCTTCAAATGTAATTTATAGGAGTACTTTAACGCACCAGTAGATAATAAATGTAAAACAGTTAATAAGTTTAGACTCCGATTTAAATAAGTATATCTTATGTTGCTTTAAAATGCTATTAAAATGCATATAATAATCTGTATCCTGCTATGTAGAATAATCGTCAGCAAGTTTGGCAGCCAAGCTATTCACAGGCAATTGCTCCTTGCAAAACCAAGCTAAGTAGAAAATTGTTTTGATTCCAGTTTTATATCATTTCCGGTAAACAACCATCCCCGATTAACTCTAAAGCAAATCGTATACATTTTAATTTGCCATGAAGTAAAACCGTTTCATATCTAGCTTGTTTTTGGAAGTGTAGAGAACCTTGGCTATCAAGACTATAAAAATGCATATAATAGTCTGTATCCTGCTATGTAGAATAATTGACAGCAAGTTTTGGCAGCAAAGGCATTTACAGGCAATTGCTCTTCGCAAAAACAAGCTAGATAGGAAAAAACTATTTTCTTTCAATTTTATATCTTTTTCCGTTACACAACCATTCCTGATTAACTCTAAAACAAATCGTATAAATTTTAATAACGCGCTAAATTATTTTCAGAGGAAGTGGGGAAACTGCCATGCGTAGAAAACTGCCCCACACCATAACACAGTGGACCGGCAAAGCAGTTTGTGTCCACCCCAAAACCGGACTGGGCATCTCGGATGATGCAAGAATCACTGCATTTCAGCCATTCTTTGTTGGCTTCCGGCTGCCTTATTCCATTGTGAGAGGAGAAATACTTCCACTTGTTGTTACAGTGTTTAACTATCTGACGGAGTGCCTACCTGTAAGTGTAACCTCTTTTAATTTTTTACAATGTTGAAGGTAAAATTAACGAAATGATTAGAAAGTATTAATTTTTATTTTCTTTCTTTTAATAAGGGCTTGATCGAGACTTAAACTGAGTTGCTCTTATTGAGCTTTTCCACTAACAGATGGCATCAACTTTCTTACTTTCCTTTCTTTCTTCTTTCTGAGCTTTCAGTTGGGGCGTGATGTTTATTTGTGATTTTTAGTATGGTTCGTGATTTTTTTAGTGTGGTGTTCTTTTGATTTTGGCAATGGAACATGTCTTTAAGAATTTTTTTTTTAATTTTTTTTTTCTTTTTGTCATTAGTTTATGTATTTTGTATAAATTTTACTTTCGTATTTTGTATTCTCTTTTCCTAGACTTCCTGCAAAGCTTAGTCTTGTTATCTCAATAGAAAAAATTTTGTACTTTTTTTATGACTTCCGGAGCAATTTAGCAAATAATTTTTATTTTATTCTGCAGATCAAACTATCTTTAGAGTCCAGCGAGGAATACAAGATCCTGTCTGAGAGCGGTTCCCACAAGGTTTGCGTGTGTGGTGGACAGAGTGCTTATCACAAATTCGTCCTCAAACCTACAGCACTGGGGATGGTGAATGTCACGGTGTACGGATATTCCCTCGAAGACGACGATGAAGTGTGCGGCAACGAAATCACAGCCAGGCTCAGCGCTCGAGACGCAGTCTCGAAGCAACTGAAAGTCGAGGTAAATATGAGAGTCGAACAGATTGGAAATTAATTGGATATTTACAACTCTTGAAAAAAAGATTATGCCTAACCATGTGATTTAAATCAGATTTAATTTGATACCTGTATGCAACGTCACGCGCGTGTGGAACTTGAATGGCTTCTGAATCGACAAATACCACGATTTACCAGCAATGACGTCACGCGCAAGTATCCGTTGGGAACAGTAAAATGCAGAAAAATGCATTGAAATCTCTCGGAAGCGACCTCTCACTCTATCTCTCCCCCACAGTAAAAGGTTCATTAACCCCTTCCATCTCTCTCCCGTGAAAATGACGTAACTAGGTTTCGCCCTCTATTTCTCGCTCCCGTGATATTTCCGGGTTGGAGTATTCAGTAGTAACGCGCCAATAAGAATAAAACTAATTCATTTCTTTTGCCCGGAAAGCATTTTATTACTCATTTTACAAACCAGATGGCAGTACCAGGGTATTTTTAAGGTAATTGAAGATAGTTCGTTTATTTTAAACTAGATGTCAGCACTAATCAAATACGTAATACAGAAACAAAAACCAAAAAATAGGCACTTTTATGACCTTTTCTTGAAAATTAGCCGATCTCTAAGGGGTTAATAGAGGTTGGTCGTTCTTAGGGGTTACCTGCATTGACTTCAAAATGCTGTCAACGGTGCAGGATTTATAGAAAATTGTTTTAATTTTAGTCAGTGTAATTTTCATGGCGCGGAAATGTCACTTTTGTTGGAGACATGAAAACCAGATCGATGAACATAATTTAGCGTCAATAAAAATGATTCCTATTTATATAATTCTGTGTGAAAGCAAATTTAACAATTATGAATTATAGAACTTTTTTAATAAATGAACAATTATATTTTCTGTTTGAGTTTGCATTTAATTTTATATCTGAGAAACTAGCTTTAAAAAATGAGCTTGTTAGTTTGAGGCGCTTACTTTTTTCTAAAATAGCTGTTTTTTTTTCTAATTTAACTTTTAAGTCTAAAAACATTATTGACAGCATCGTCTTTAGTGTACTCTGACTGCAACATGAGGTTGTAGTGTTCAGGTATTACTGTGACAAATATCAATCAAATATGTCTTCTCTTATTATCATAAAATAAATAAACTGATATGTTGTACAATGTGGTTTTTAATAAAGTGATATTTTATTATTGATAGGCAGAAGGTATACGGAAAGAAGAAGTAACCAACTATTTTATTTGTCCAAAAAGTGAGTTCATATTCATTTATTAGTGTTACACAAATTCAAAAAAAGAATATTATTACACGAAAGAAATAAGCTTTATGTACTAGAAGTCTGCTTGAATACCTAAGAGCATTGCATAAAGGAAGATTATTTTCATGACTTGATTTTACTAAGACATAAGTTGGGTACCAAGGGAAAAATATTAGAGCAACATATTAAAAAAAATTCTATGTAAAAAGTTAGTTCTGCAGGTATTTCATGTACGAATCATTAGCGAAAAGAGAAAGGACAGTACTCACCCTAGTACCTTGCTATAAACTTAGACATTCTCTTCCTTAAAAAAATGTATATTTTAGAGGAAGTATTTTATTATTCCTTTTCTTTATTGTCTCTCTTGTATGACGAAACATGATTGGGGTAGTTGAAATAGATAAATTATGCAAGTGAAATTGAATAACAAATTTATTATTGAGTGAATACCACTTAAAGCAAAGTAGCATTTGAAATTTGGAGAATCAATCGGCATTTGAACAGTGGAGAAAATTATTTCAGAATGAAAACACAAATTCAAAAATTGAAAGGAAAAGCGCCAATTTTTCAATCATTCTGTAATTTTTTATGAAATTTTTTGGTAAGTCCGACTTTATGTTATGTGCTTGTTTGCATAAAATCTGACTTCAAAAATTCCAAGGGGAAAAAGGTTCGCCCACCCCCCCTTAATTTCCATTATCTGGGTGAACTGTTCTAGTCAACCCAACAGGAATTTATACATTTAAGGAAAGACTCAACAACGATCAAAATATTTGCTAAACTATGAAAACACATACCTGCCAATTTATCGGAACGCTTTTATTTGAATATTAAGAGTAGTAATGAATTTTATAATTTAACATTTTATTAGGGTTTAATAAATATAGAATAATTTTTTCCACCGCTAGATATAAACTGCTTTGACCTATATACAAAACATATGCAAAGTGCGAGCAAAATTAAACAAATTAAGTGTAACTTAGATATCTTAGGAAGGTGTTGCTCTTTCGTTTAAACATTTTTTTTTGTAACCGAGAGATCTCAGCCATCCTGATCTATCACTCTTATGTTGCCAACATAGGATGCAAGAAATAAAGCAACGCGCGTAAATTTTGAGACACCATGCGCCCTTTTCCAATTTTTATTTTATTTTTATTTATAACGAATGTCTAAGCGGAAATTTTGAAGAATTGTTACAAAATTTGCCAACAGATGGGGTGGCAAAACATTACTATTCAGAGCTATAAGTGTACCCATGGTGGAAGCGTAAAAATGAGGATGTTGTACCGGAGTAGGCGGGTCCGTGTATTCTATTAAACACCGCGTGTTTCTGGTACTCGAATATCACAGGTTAGATTACATGTGGTATGTACTCTTTTCAAGAACTCTGTACAGCTTAAGCCGCCATCTGATGACAACTTTTGTAACTAAATGTGAAAATTTCTGTAAAAAGTTGTACAGATTTGGCAATAAACATACCGTTTATTTCTCCCCTCTAATATATTTCCCAAGGTTTTTTAATTTTGAAATCAGTCAGTGCTCCGCTGGATATCCTGTAAGATGTTCAATTGGTTTTACAATTATAAAAGTATTCAAACTAAATTTATTAATTAAATTTGTGTTGAAAACATTATTTCTAATTGTTCTAATTCATTTCGACAGACACAAATGGTTCGTATGCTACTGAAATAGATTTAATACCACCGGATGACGTGGTTGAAGGTTCTGCTCGTGCCTTCATATCTATATCAGGTAAGCCAGTCACACAGTTGTTAATTCTAATGTCACTTGCTTAATGTCACTTGTTTTATTAGATTATTGCAGTATGTTTTATGAAGCAAAAACAAGGAGGCAGCGTTGCAACTTTCTTATAATTTGTCTAGAGTAAGAACTCGCCTAGCCATTCATCTGGACCCGTGGTGGTAAATATAGTAACGAGGCATAACTATTCTAAGTAGGGGTGTTTGGTCACTGTTTAGGGCAGGTTTTGGCTAAGGTCAAAGAGAGAAAGGTAATCTTTTTCTCCGGTCTATAGCGTTAGCCCTAGAGTGAAGACAAATTACCCTCGTTGAAATGCGCTATTCTTGTTCCACAGCAGCAGACGGCAACTTACCGTAGACAAACAATATATAAGCCTAGTAGAGGGGTTTGTTATTTGTTTGATTTAATGGATTACCAAATTCTCAGAAATATGCTTATGTAATGTTTCAACTGTCCCTATTAAGCTATCTGGTCACTAAATACCTCGAAAAATTACTCAAAGTTTTTATCCCAGAAATTCTTGTGTCAAAAATTGTTTGAAACTCTCAGTAACTTGTCAAACACCATAGACATTAGTTATTTCAACGTTGCTAAATTAAAAACTAAAGAAAATGAATGTGCTAGGAAAAAATTTACTTTTTGTTTAAAAGTATTTATTTGTATTTTCAGCTGATTTGATGGCGCCTGCTCTGAATAGTCTGCAAGAACTTGTAAACCTGCCAGTGGGATGCGGCGAGCAAAATATGATTCTTTTCACCCCGAATATCTTTGTCCTAGATTATTTGACAGCCACTGACCGTAAGACTCAAGACATAGAGAATGAGTGCATCAAAAACATGAAAATAGGTAAGACAGATAATTGGTTCATTGAACATTATCTACAGTTTCTGTTACTCATAATATATTTTCTGTTGTTAAGTGCTAAAAGCAACGGGAAATCACTGCTATCAAGCATTAAAAAGCTGCTAAGGTCATCGTACTTAAGTAGAAATTTAAAGATTCCTGCTTAGGGAATCATTACACTGCCAATTAGTGAGGTACAGGCCTTTAAAAAGCTGCAGCACAAATCATTATGAAACACTTCATTAGTGAGAACAAAATTTTTGATTATGAGTATATTTTGGTAAATTTGTCGCTGCTTTTTCCACACTTATGACTAGCTGCTACAAATTCTCAACAGTAACAAAATTAGCACATTATTTTCTTAAGATATGTTATTTCATCGACGAAAGAAGCTTTGAGAATCAGCTTTAAACTGACTAATAACTATCTAGTGAATTTATCCACTAATTGTGAGCCTTTATTTAAAAACAGTTCTTTCAACTTCCCCCCACAAAAGCTCAAGATTGAGGTCTGCTGATTGCAGGTGCCAATGCAACAGAGTGAAATTTACATCATCTTCTTAAATAAATATTAATATAAATCATCAGTATTACATATGTACTATAGAACTACATTAGCAGGCGACTTAATAGCTCTTTTGCATAAAACTATAAAGTGTTCATAATAAAAGTGACTACTCTGTGTAAAATAATGACACAAGTCTTCTGTTGCGTTGAGCACACTCTTGATTGGCAATCGAAATGGGCTACAGGTGGCGTAGAGCAGAACTCGGTACCTATGGCAACACTTCGCATATTTTCACCAGAAGCGCGTGGAGAGTCAAAAGAGAAGGAACTATGTTAGTGTCTGTCTTGATTTTTAAATAGAGCAAAAACTTTTAAGTTAGGAAACTATATGGAACTGAAAATACATTAAACATAGTTCTAAAATAAAAATTTCGAGGAAATTTTTTTAAAAAAATATTTTTTACGAGTAAATACGAAAAATATTCAGAAAGGGCAAAATATAGTAGTACATTCCTATACAACTGAGAAGAGGAAGAAAGGGAAGGGGGAGGTTTCAAGACATGGAACTGATTTTCTCCCCAGATGGCGTATTGGAGTGTTGCGATCACGAATTTTATATGAAATAAACTGTGTTGATTGTTCCTTTTAGGTTACCAGAGAGAGTTAAATTATCGTCACAAGGATGGTTCCTACAGTGCTTTCGGTGAAAGGGACAAAGAAGGTAGCCTTTGGTTGACTTCTTTTGTCATCAGGTCATTCGGTCAAGCTACACGCTTCATTGATATTGACAGACAAGACATACAGGTTAGCGTCAACTGGGTTCTGGAGAATCAATTCGAAAATGGCTGCTTCCAACCGATTGGCACTCTTCACCACAAAGATATGAAGGTAATATACAACATTGCATTTTATTCCATCGAGATGTATAATATTCTTACGAGAAAAGTATTTTCACTTTCAACAATTTCACTGCAAAATTTAGTATTTAAAAATTGCAAAGATATTTTAAAAAAGCAGCTGTCAGAAAATTCCTGATGATCCATGTCACATTTACACTTAATGTAATGTGACAATTTAATTTCTAATTTTACCTAAGCCTTTAATTTTTTTCTTTAAACGTTATTCCTTTTTTTCGATTTAGCAGTTTTATTTTTAACTTTCTTGTTGACCTTTTTCATGGTCATTGCGGTCATCGCACTTCCTGTGGGGAAAGTCAACCAACCCCTCTATTCACGCCTTTCTTTTTCTTCCTTTAATTTTAGGGGGGCTAACTAACCAATCTCTTTCCTTTAAATTTCAAACTCTCCGCCTCTTTAAATTTAATTGGCCGTAATTTTTCTGGTTTACCCCAGTTAAGTCACTTTGAAAAAACGATTCTCTCTCTCGAGCCTTCGGGCAGGTTACCTTTTTTTTATTCTCCGAGATGCGGATTTCGGTCCGTATCGAGGGATTTCTTTTTACATTTTTTTCTTAACCTTTACCTTAAATTAAATGCATAACTATAATCAATTTCTGTAAATTTCAAATCAACATTTTATACCTTTAATTTTCTTCAACATTGAAAAAAAACCTTCTCGAATTTAAGCTTTCTTTCCATATTTATTTTAACCTTTAAATTACTCGTTCTTTTATAATTAACATTTATCTATGACTCCTTCTGTGTTTTAATTCTCCCGTCACCCATTTCAATAAAATGCCTTTCTTGTGTTGGTAGATGTGGTGAAAGATGTATGTTCTAAATAAAATGATATGTTAATAATTTAATCTTGTGCTGGAGAATTTATTTGCCTCTATTTTCATGATTTATCATGTCCTGTGTGTACAGGGTGAGTACCTTTCAATTATTGTTATGGGCATGCATATATGTGAATTCATTAGTTTTTCTTATTGGAAACATCAGCTTACTGTATTAAATCATATATTGTTTGGATATAGTATGACTTTATCGTATTTACCATTAATCTTTAATTGTCTTAGTTTTCACCCTTATTCTAAATTTGGTGATACCAAATCATCCAATTTGTTCAAACCTCACACTTTGTGACCCTTTGGACCTATTGGGTTATTGTTATCCCACATTAGCATTGTACTACCACTTTCCTTAACGATCACAT